TGTCCCAGGCTGAAGGTGCGTAGTGGAGGGTGTTGTAAATCACTCTTACTGTCCACTGTTTGTCTGTCCCAGGCTAAAGGTGCGTGGTGGCCGTATGGGCAGCAACTCCTCCCTTTCTCTAACTGGACTTCCCGAGCGGCAGGAGTCATGGGACCTGCTCAAACCCACACTGCTGACCTCTGCTGGGGCCAGGTGAGACTGGGAAATAAGACTTTGGGTGGGGGTGGGGGGGGGGGGGGTTCAATGTGTTCTTGCTTAATGCTTCTTGAAGTAAACTGCGCCCATATGGTTTAAGTTAGAACTGGAGAGATATTGGTGTGGTTTATGTGTATGTTCCGTGTGCGTGCAAATGTTCAGGAGTTAGGGTGTGTGTGCATACTTGTACATGCATGTCTAAGACAATGTGTGTGTGTAAGATGGTGTACAGTGCCTTCAGAAAGTATTCACACCCCTTGACTTTTTCCACATTTTGTTGCGTTACAGCCTGAATTAAAAAGTTATTAAATTCTGATTTTGTCACTGGCCTACACACAATAACATAATGTCGAAGTGGAATTATATGTTTTTAGACATTTGTACAAATTGATTACAAATTAAATGCTGAAATGTTTTGAGTCAATACGTATTCAACCCCTTTGTTATGGCAAGCCTAAATGTAAAAAATGTCCTTAAGTCACATAATAAGTTGCATGGACTCACTCTGTGCACATTAATAGTGTTTAACATTATTTCTGAATGACTACCTCATCTCTGAACCCCACACATACAATGATCTGTAAAGTCCCTCAGTCGGGCAGTGAATTTCAAACACCGATTCAACCACAAAGACCAGGGAGGTGTTCCAATGCCTCGCAAAGAAGGGCACCTATTGGTAGATGGTTAAAAAAACAAAAAAAACAGACATTGAATATCCTTTTGTGCATGGTGAAGTTAATTGCACTTTGAATGGTGTATCAATACACCCAGTCACTACAAAGATAAAGGCGTCCTTCCTAACTCAGTTGCCGGAGAGGAAGGAAACTGCTCAGGGATTTCACCATGTAGCCAATGGTGACTTTAAAACAGTTACAGAATTGAATGGCTGTGATAGGAGAAAACTGAGGATGGATCAGCAACATTGTAGTTACTCCACAACACTAACCTAATTGACAGAGTGAAAAGAAGGAAGCCTGTACTGAATAAAAATATTCAAAAACATGCATCCTGTTTGCAACAAGGCACTAAAGTAATACTGCTAACAATGTGGCAAAGGAATTCACTTTTTGTCCTGATTACAAAGTGTTATGTTTGGGTCAAATCCAATACAACACATTACTGAGTACCATGCTCCATATTTTCCAGCATAGTGGTTGCTGCATCATGTTTTGGGTATGCTTGTAAGGACTGGAGAGTTTTTCAGAATTGAGCTAACCACAGGCGAAATCCTAGAGGAAAATCTGGTTCAGTCTACTTTTCACCAGACACATGGAGATTTACATTTTAGTCATTTAGCAGACGCTCTTATCCAGAGCGACTTACATGAGCAATTAGGGTTATGTGCCTTGCTTAAGGGCACATCGGCAGATTTTTCACCTAGTCGGCTCGGGGATTCGAATTGAGGATTAGAACCAGCGTCCTTTCGGTTACTGGCCTAATGTTCTTAACCGCTAGGCTACCTGCCGAAGATGAATTCACAGGACAACAATAACCTAAAAGGCCAAATTTACACTGAAGTTGCTTTTTTACCAAGACGGTGAATGTCCCAGAGTGGCCGAGTTACAGTTTTTACTTAAATCTACTTGAAAATCTATGGCTAGACCTGAAAATGGTTTTCTAGCAATGATCAACAACCAATTTGATAGAGCTTGAAGAATTTTGAGCAGAATCCAGGTGTGGAAAGCTCTTACAGACTTACCCAAAAAGACTCACAGCTGTAATTGCTGCTAAAGGTGCTTCTAACATATATTGACTCAGGGTTGAATACGTATCTAATTAAGATATTCGTTTCATTTTTCATTTTTTAAAATATAAATAATACAAACTTTATTCCACTGACAGAGTATTTTGTGTAGATCGTTGTTGACAAACAATGAAAATTAAATCCATTTTAATCCCACTTTGTAACACAACAAAATGTGGAAAAAGTCAAGGGGTGTGAATAAAGGCGCTCTATATACCTCTATTGATGCACGGACCGGTTTGGGTTTTTACTTAACCTTCTATAACGGTATTTCAAAGTTTGGTTTGTTAAATGTGATACGCCATTCCGTTTTTATAGTTTACTCTCGTCTCTCTCAACAAGCCCCGCCCCCTGTCATTCTAGGAGCGCAGTTGTTGCTCGACCACGAGATTATTTGCCCACCGTTCACTCTTCAGTCTGCATGGTCAATGCAGCAGATGCAGCAATATGTGGATGACGATCATGCTGCTTTCCACTTTTGCTTCTTAATATAAATCCACAAGCGTTCTATTATTACACTATCTGCAAACAGATAGTTTGGCTTTTCTTAGCAAGTTGTGCCTAAAATAAATTGTTAGCCACTAATCACTAGCTAGCTAGCTAGCTAGCTAGCTAGCTAGCTAATAAATGTACTGAGTCAGAGCAAACGTAGCTAGCTACAGCCTGATACCAGTGATGGTGTTGGCCTAGATCCGCATGTTTGTGCAACAGTATCTTCTAAATCCGAGATAGGCGAAGAATGAATATGTTAGCTATTTTTTTATTTATTTTTTATTTCACCTTTATTTAACCAGGTAAGCCAGTTGAGAACAGGTTCTCATTTACAACTGCGACCTGGCCAAGATAAAGCATAGTAGTGCAATAAAACAACAACACAGAGTTACATATGGGGTAAAAAACATAAAGTCAGAAATACAACAGAAAATATATATACAGTGTGTGCAAATGTAGCAAGTTATGGAGGTAAGGCAATAAATAGGCTATAGTGCAGAATAATTACAATAGTATTAACACTGGAATGCTAGATGTGCAAGAGATTATGTGCAAATAGAGATACTGGGGTGCAAATGAGCAAAATAAATAACAATATAGGGATGAGGTAGTTGGGTGGGCTAATTTCAGATGGGCTGTGTACAGGTGCAGTGATCGGTAAGGTGCTCTGACAACTGATGCTTAAAGTTATTGAGGGAGATAAGAGTCTCCAGCTTCAGAGATTTTTGCAGCTACATGAAGTAAGAGAAAACATTTAATGTAGCTAAAGATTACAGGGTTCCACTCCCCTGGGAAACACTGACCAACATTTTGGTTCGTACCCTGTCACAATAACGGCTACGTTGAGATCCTATTAGTATTCTAATTAATAATTATATGAATGCCTCCCTGGCTTTTTCATCCGTTGTCATGTCAAATAACAGTTCACCTGTGTTTTGATCTAAATCGCAAGTAAAATCCTAATTGAATTTTTTTTTTAAAATAAGGCCTAGATTTGTTGGCCATATCGTGCAGCCCTACGTCGCAGTGTGGAAATGATTGATTGTAAAATGAGATCAACTTTTGGTTTAAGTTCAATTGTTTTTTACTGTTCAATCAGAAAGGAGAAAGCTCAATTGAAATAACTTAGAATGTATGTTGCCACAATAGGGTCATGCACAACTTATAAAGCAAAACCATCAAATACCGTCATACTGTCAAAAATCATGTCGTGATGAGATATTTTGGCCTTATTGCCCAGCCCTATGTGAGGCTATGACAGAGAGTGGAAGTGGGGCACACCCAGATTAGAGGGGGCCACCTGTCTCGTGTTCTCCCAGCCATAGGTACCACGAGGCAGCCTCCTGCACTCAGGACTACAGCTCCATCTGACAGACTAATTTAAGGATATATATGTCACTTCTTAGTTTCTAGTCAGTAGTTTTAAAGAGCGTTATTTAGTGTGCTAAACTACTAGGCTACATGTCGCAGCACTCAAGACATTGTTTTACACAGTTCTCTACTGCCACTCCTGAGTGGAGCAGTGGTCTAAGGCACTGCATCGCAGTGCTAACTGTGCCACTAGAGATCCTGGTTCGAATCCAGGCTCTGTCGCAGCCGGCCACGACCGGGAGACTCATGGGCGGCGCACAATTGGCCCAGCGTCGTCCAGGGTAGGGGAGGGAATGGCCGGCAGGGATGTAGCTCAGTTGATAGAGCATGGCGTTTGACAGACAACCCTCACAAGTGCTTAATATGCAAAGACATGTATCCAGGCAGAATTGAGTCACATCACATGAGCACGAGCACGATTCCAATGCTCCAAACGGCAGCAGAGAGCTGTGATTCCCGTGCTCCACCAGATGGCAGCAGAGAGCTGTGATTCCCGTGCTTCACCAGATGGCAGCAGAGAGCTGTGATACCCGTGCTCCACCAGATGGCAGCAGAGAGCTGTGATTCCCATGCTCTCCCAGATTACATTTACATTTCAGTCATTTAGCAGACGCTCTTATCCAGAGCGACTTACAGTTAGTGAATACATATTTTTTTATACTGGCCCCGTGGGAATCGAACCCACGGGGCCAGAGAGCTGTGATTCCCATGCTCTCCCAGATTACATTTACATTTTAGTCATTTAGCACGGGGCCAGTATAAAAAAATATGTATTCACTAACTGTAAGTCGCTCTGGATAAGAGCGTCTGCTAAATGACTAAAATGTAAATGTAATCTGGGAGAGCATGGGAATCACAGCTCTCTGCTGCCATCTGGTGGAGCACGGGTATCACAGCTCTCTGCTGCCATCTGGTGAAGCATGGGAATCACAGCTCTCTGCTGCCATCTGGTGGAGCACGGGAATCACAGCTCTCTGCTGCCGTTTGGAGCATTGGAATCAGGCTCGTGCTCATGTGATGTGACTCAATTCTGCCTGGATACATGTCTTTGCATATTAAGCACTTGTGAGGGTTGTCTGTCCATTGATAATGTGTATGTTAGCCTTGCTGTTGTTCAGTACTTCCTCAATCAGACCTTATAGGAATTAATTAAACTCTTGTCTCTCTGTCCTCTGTCTCATCCCTCTGTTCTCATCAGTGTTGAGATGTTGACTGAGGATTTCATGTCATCCGCACCTATGATGCCCCTTGAAATACTTAACGGGGGGCAACCAACAAAGGTAATCAATTAATCTGTGTTTTGCTTTACCAGTTACTCACGTGCATTAGAATGCATATAGCAAACTACATCTGAATGCACAGAAATAATTGTATGCCTTTTTCTCTGAATGTGTAAGCTGTTTGTAACATAGCCGTTGCCTTGTCGCTATGCAGGCCAAACCTGAGGAGCTGGAGATGCCCACCCCTCCGTCGCTGCCGGCCCCGCTGAGCGATAACCTGATAGACTTCTCAGACCCAACCCCAGTAGTAAGTCTATAGACCCCTTCTGCTGCCTCACGCTTCAGCTGCTGTATCTGTTACCTTGAGTAGTTTAAACTTACCAAAAATGTGTGTGATTCGCTTCCAAGTTCAAACCCAATAGGCTTTGTTGACAGGTCAACTACTTACTTGGGCCTCATTGTGCCAAGTGATGGGTGTTTGAGTGTAACTCTTCAATATTGTTCTCTTGTAGTTACCACCACCACCACCAGTGCAATCTAAACCCATGATATCACCTCGCTGGAACATCCCTGCTGCTGCAGTGAGTACTGATGGACTTGGACTGTCTGTCCTCTGGGCTTTAATGCTCCTGTCTGTCTATAGTCTGCCTGTCTGTCCTGGGTTTAAGTAGGTCTGTGTATTTTAGTCTTGTCTGTCTCTAGACTGTCTGTACGTCAGTGTACATCTCTCTTGTAGCTGCCTCATGTAGAGACTGACCCAGCCAGTCCACTTTCCTTCTCATCCCATTCTAACACAGCCACCCACCGCCAACTTTACTAATGGCCTCCTTGACCTTGACCCCTCTGCAAAGACCGCCGCCCCTCTCCAACCTGAAGGGGGGGCTCTCACCCCAGCCCTGCACCCCCATCTCTCCTCTCAAACACACAATGTGATTGACACCAGGTAACTCCGTCATGACATGTCATCATCTCTGCCTTGTCCTAATGCGCTTTAGGTCATCTCATCTGGACATTGTGGTCATAGTAGCTAGTCTTAGTTGCTATGTGCTTTTGGCACCATGCCATATGCTGTGTTGTAAAGAGTAGACAATATAATTCCCCCTCCTGTTAATAATTGAAGCCTGTAGTGATTAACATCCCCATTTACTAATTATGTTCCTGATGAGCTTCTATGTCTTGATATAGCTTGGTGAAGGCTGGAACTAAATGTTTCAATTTCCACTACATCTCTGCAGAAGTTATCAAGTTTGGCTGTACTGCTGAATAAAGTCTATTAGTTAAGATGAATGTTGTGAACACTAAAAGTTAGTAGGCTTTCTGGGTTTCAAATTTTACAATTGAAAAAAAACAATGCGCACATCAGGTAAATATAATTATTTAATGGTGCAGGCAGGTCTCCTGGAACAATATGCATAGAATGATGGATGTGAACCATCGTACAGTTTCTCATTTTGGTTTCTCATTACGTTGTGGTGTTCTCATGCATCACAGTATACTGGTTAGCGATACAATATTCCTAATCTACTAGAATATTACTATGATACATTAACTTATGTTGTACACACTGAAAGGTGTTCTGGGATTTTTATTTAGTTGTGTTCTCCTCTCACCAGCATTGTGGCCCACCCACCCAAAGAGCACGGCACCAAGCACAAAGGTCTGTTGACCACTGAGCTCTGAGAGGGAACCGGGAGAGCTAGCTTCTACCCTCCTCACAACAAATACTTCCTACTCCTGGCGTTCCCAAACTAGGGGGCTATTTCCCATTCTGAGCACATTCATCTCCTGCTGCTTTCCCAAAACTGGGGAATGTTCCTGCCCTAGTGACAACCAGCATCTCCTACTGCATTCCCAAACAATTCCCAAACCAGCAGCAATCAAGAGATTGGATTATTGGAATTCCTCGTCTCACTACATTCCAGTTTGGAGACGTTATTATTTTTAATTGTTGATGTATTTTAGTACCACAGTTGTGTCACTACTTCTTTCATAAGCATTCCTACAAAGTGCACACACTCCTTTTTAGAAATGTTTTAAGCAGGAAGGGACTGCGATAAGTGCTAAGGAAGAAGGAGAGGACATCTGTACCTGAAACCACTGAATTACATTGGATCACTGGACCTGGACTCTTTTATAGGATATGAAACAATGACTTTATACTGATGACATTTTACTCTTTATTTTTATTTTTTATTGTGTCCTGTTAGTTTTTTTCCCTTTTTTTATTTAAAGTCAGAGTGAATTGATCAAGTACCAGTGTTCAGTTAGGACCTGGCGCTCACTAGATGTTTGAATCCGATTATGACTCAGTCATCTGAGGATGACAACAGCAATATGTAGCATGCAGGCATGAATTTAGCCACGAACAAGTCATGTGTAAAATGTTATACCTATTTTGTATCCATATAAAAACACTGTAGCTACGACCTGCCTTATTAAGCTTGCTGAATGTTAAATTCTGATTGCATAACTTTACACAGTAAGGAAATACTACCACTACTATTACTAATACTACCACTACTGTTACTACTGTATCTAGGCCTATACTGTACTTTAGTTTTTCTTGTTACTTACTGAGTCCACTGCTTACGACTGGAGCGTCTCACTGTATGTGATGGTCATTTCTCATAATGTAGTCTTGACACTGTTTCTGGCTGTGTGTGATGGTAATTTCTCATAATGTAGTCTTAACACCGTTTCAGGCTGTGGTCATCAATGACAGGTGACATGAGTCATAGGCTGACAGGAAATAGGCCTATCACAAACTGGCTCTCCATTGGTTATTTTCCACACTAAGCCAATCACATACAGGATCTCTGGTGGTAGGAAAGTAGTCCGTCAACTGTATTATTCACTAACGTAAGATGTAATTTAAACTGTATTTTAGATATCAGACATATGTTGCCTCTACCGGCGATAGATCAGAAGTAGGTCTTTGCGAGACGATGTGCAGTAGCGGTAAAAGCAGAGGACATTTTCAAATGCTATTAATTTGAACAAGTGAGCTGTGAACAACACCCATCTCAATGGGAAATACTTTTAAAAACATGTTGTTGTTTTTTTTGTGAAGTCTCTGATTACATTTTTATGGTTTCTTGATTCCTTTTTTTTTGCAGGAATACAGTGGGGGAAAAAAGTATTTAGTCAGCCACTAATTGTGCAAGTTCTCCCACTTAAAAAGATGAGAGAGGCCTGTAATTTTCATCATAGGTACACGTCAACTATGACAGACAAAATGAGATTTTTTTTTTACAGAAAATCACATTGTAGGATTTTTAATGAATTTATTTGCAGATTATGGTGGAAAATAAGTATTTGGTCAATAACAAAAGTTTCTCAATACTTTGTTATATACCCTTTGTTGGCAATGACACAGGTCAAACGTTTTCTGTAAGTCTTCACAAGGTTTTCACACACTGTTGCTGGTATTTTGGCCCATTCCTCCATGCAGATCTCCTCTAGAGCAGTGATGTTTTGGGGCTGTCGCTGGGCAACACAGACTTTCAACTCCCTCCAAAGATTTTCTATGGGGTTGAGATCTGGAGACTGGCTAGGCCACTCCAGGACCTTGAAATGCTTCTTACGAAGCCACTCCTTCGTTGCCCGGGCGGTGTGTTTGGGATCATTGTCATGCTGAAAGACCCAGCCACGTTTCATCTTCAATGCCCTTGCTGATGGAAGGAGGTTTTCACTCAAAATCTCACGATACATGGCCCCATTCATTCTTTCCTTTACACGGATCAGTCGTCCTGGTCCCTTTGCAGAAAAACAGCCCCAAAGCATGATGTTTCCACCCCCATGCTTCACAGTAGGTATGGTGTTCTTTGGATGCAACTCAGCATTCTTTGTCCTCCAAACACGACGAGTTGAGTTTTTACCAAAAAGTTATATTTTGGTTTCATCTGACCATATGACATTCTTCCAATCCTCTTCTGGATCATCCAAATGCACTCTAGCAAACTGGACATGTACTGGCTTAAGCAGGGGGACACGTCTGGCACTGCAGGATTTGAGTCCCTGGCGGCGTAGTGTGTTACTGATGGTAGGCTTTGTTACTTTGGTCCCAGCTCTCTGCAGGTCATTCACTAGGTCCCCCCGTGTGGTTCTGGGATTTTTGCTCACCGTTCTTGTGATCATTTTGACCCCACGGGGTGAGATCTTGCGTGGAGCCCCAGATCGAGGGAGATTATCAGTGGTCTTGTATGTCTTCCATTTCCTAATAATTGCTCCCACAGTTGATTTCTTCAAACCAAGCTGCTTACCTATTGCAGATTCAGTCTTCCCAGCCTGGTGCAGGTCTACACTTTTGTTTCTGGTGTCCTTTGACAGCTCTTTGGTCTTGGCCATAGTGGAGTTTGGAGTGTGACTGTTTGAGGTTGTGGACAGGTGTCTTTTATACTGATAACAAGTTCAAACAGGTGCCATTAATACAGGTAACGAGTGGAGGACAAAGGAGCCTCTTAAAGAAGAAGTTACAGGTCTGTGAGAGCCAGAAATCTTTCTTGTTTGTAGGTCACCATAATTTGCAAATAAATTCATAAAAAATCCTACAATGTGATTTTCTGGAGAAAAAAAATCTAAATTTGTCTGTCATAGTTGACGTGTACCTATGATGTAAATTACAGGCCTCTCTCATCTTTTTAAGTGGGAGAACTTGCACAATTGGTGGCTGACTAAATACTTTTTTCCCCCACTGTACTTTAAAGAAGCACTCAGATAAAATTGGTAGTTTTCTCTTGCTCTCTATTTGCTGTATCATGAATTATATAAACTGATTTGCCTGGCAAGAACATTCTTTGTCATATTATTGAATTCTATCTGCATCAGAAGTTGTAGAGATAGTGATTGACCATCATCAGTGGTCTTTTTTTTTATTTTATTTTTTTAAGCTCTATCTGAGATTTTTCTTAGTTAACCATAACACTGTTTTTCTCTGTTCTTTAGAAATCATGTTTCACCATGTAAGTGCTATTGTGCTGTAGCTCTCGTACGTTAATTTATTCCTCTTTTTGTAAGAGCACCGTTGTTATTTGCACTGTATTTAAGTGTATTGTAGATGTAAAAAACCCTGCTCTAGATATTGTCACCACACTGATTTGTATGTACATTGAACATCATTACTTTTAAAGGATAAGTAGGCTAGGATGCCAGTAGCAATTTTGTACAATGTCGTAAATTCTTCAAGTAAAAAAGTATTATAAAAAGTGAATTCTTCCATTTAAGATCTCTGGGCCTTGAGAAAATGTTGATCTATTCCTGTACATATACTATTATCATGAATGGTATGTCCATCAGCATCGATTGATTGATTGCATATAGCGCCTTTGCAGATGCTCGAAGTGCTGTGCACTCTGAAAATAAAAGGTTCCTGGAGTGTCCTTTAGGGGTTCTTCAAAATGAAACTGTGGGGTAACCCATATTGAAGAACCTTTTGGATTCATTTTTGGATTCATTTTTGTGGTAAATGTGAGTGAAAAAGCTGTTTTGATAATGGTTTTCATACACATACCTTGTCCATAATGTAGAGGCCTATGGGATTTTCATTGAAGAGTTAAGGGAGGAGGATGGTACATGTGATCTGCATAACATACCAATACCAATTGACATTGACGGGACTCACCTCTTCCACCACCAATGTGTAGCACCTACTTGGGTGATGCATGGTTGGCAACCATTTCTGCCAGAAGGCTCACCACACATCAGCTATTGATATATGCCAATTAGCAATGAGGAACTGGAATTGGAGCTGTAATTTTGTGTTGATATATTTTAACACTAGATGGCAACATTAGGTGAGGTTGGACTGTACCGCTTTATCATCAAGCTTGCTCAACCTGTGTGCTGGGAACTCGGAAAAATACGAGGTCAAATCATGACGTCAGTGTTCTTCTGGTCGGAAAGTCGGAGCTCTAGAAAGGTTCCCGAGTTGGATGACCGTTCAAATCGAGTTCTCAGTTGTTTTAAACGCACTGAAATCGGAGATTTCCGAGTTCCCAGGTGCTTTGAACGCAGCATTACCCACGGAATAGCTTACCTACATTTACATTTTAGTCATTTAGCAGACGCTCTTATCCAGAGCGATTTACAGTTTTTTAGTGATTGCATACATTTTCATACTGCCCCCCCGTGGGAATCGAACCCACAACCCTGACGTTGCAAACGCCATGCTCTACCAACTGAGCTACACGGGGCCTCCTGTGTAGCTCAGGGATGCATGCAGACAGACAGACTCGCTATCAGGGATAATCAACTAGATTCAGCTGCGGTCCGATGTTATTCTTGAGCGGATGGTCAGGGGGCCGGAACATATTTAAAAATAATGTCAAACCTTGCTTACATTTGTATGCGTGGGAATACTTTGGAACAGATTTCCAAAATTAAAATAACTAGGAGCTGATTTGCTGGAGTTTTTACAGTCTTATGTAAAAAATAAAAATAATGTAATGTGTTTTGCTCAGAACGTGGGCGGCCAAATCAAATCAGGGGAACCCTGGCCTACATTCTGGTGATGCTCCCTTCTTGGCGCTCTCACGCACACACTGTTGGTGTCAGTCAAGAGAACGCACGCTCGAGACCAACAGTTCACTGGAGGCTCTACTCTGGCTCAGTGAATCTCGCTTGCGCATGGTTGGTTGGTGTTGCCAAGTATGTCCTCGTAGTGTACGCAAGGTTTTTGT